CGGCCTTCCCGGCGGCGGTGGACTGAGGGCGGCCGTGTGCGGACCGGGGGGCCCTGGCAGGGCGAGCCTCGGGTTGCTCCGTGACCACTAGAACGCCCCGCCGCTCGAGCAGCGTCGTAACGACAAATTGCGGCCTCTGCGGCACAGGACCCGCTCATTCTGTGTGCGTGCTGCAGTGCCCCGTTCCCGGTGTGAGGCCTTGAAAATGCACCGATAAATGAATAAGCACCGTAGCATATGTAATAGGGCGTTTCCTCTCGGAATCCGTGGTTTCCAACCTCAGTCAAAGCTAACAACAGGGTAGAGGTCTTTAAGTTCTGCAGGCTTTTACGTAGGCGCCTACCGCTGCTCGCCTGTGTCCTCGCCAGGGCTGAGTGCTGAGTCATTTTGACCATCCCGCCGGTCATCTGCTGAAACCCTTGGCTTTGCTAGATGCCTGTGCCATCATACCGATGTGCAAATAACTGCCTGGGAAATTTTGTGTACTGGAAAATGGAAGAATGTAAAAGATTCCTAGCAGCATATTCAGCTATATTGTTTCACGCGAGGTAGATACGCCGCGTTTGCAAGTACCAACAGAATGACTGCGGCTGTGTGCCGGTCATGCTGTATTACATCCATGCGAACATGTGAAGCAAACCAGGACTTCTGGTTCTGAAATTTAGCCTAAGAGCATCTTCTATGAGTCAAACTTACCTGGAAGTTACTCTTACAGCCAAAATTACAGAAGGAAAACCGATTGATTTCTTCTGACAAAGCACACGTCAAACATATTTTGCAACATTTTCTGCAAAGCAGAGATTTGGGTTCTGATACTTGAAGACTTTAGCTTCGTATTTCACACATGCTGTGCTCTTCCTGGCCTTTCTGTATGTACCACCAGAGAGAGACCCCAGTGTGCCAGTGCCCAGCCCATGAGGAAGGAGGTCTGGGGGGTATGGGCCAGGACTGATGTACTGCACAGGGTCATGAGTGTGATCACTTCCGTCCATAGGCCAAACCCAGGCTCTCCCTAGATTCCTCTCATCATAAGACTGGGAAGATGAAGGACTTCAGGGACTGGAGCGATGGACAAAACTTTTCCTAGGCTTCCCCTTTTTTTACCTCTCTTATTTCTTCTCGCCAAAGCAAGGTTAAATCTACATACACTCTCAGTATGGGATAATGCCAACAAACCTTGCAATAGCAAGGAATGTGGATTTCTCTGCCCTGCTGCCTCCTCGGATCTTGCAGACCCTCACTGGTGAGTGAATCTTCCTCACTTAGCAACACGCTGCACCAAAAGCAGCTTGATTGCGAGGCTGCAGCCCCAGCATCAAAAGGTGACACCCGTAAATACAGATTTAGGAGTATGTGAGGAGCATTGGCCGGTGTCACAGCAGATAAGAACGTCATTCCCAGTGGCTGACTGTGTGTATAGGTGCATGTAAACAGGTGTGGTTTGCCTCTGGCCAGCCTAGCAGGCAATGCTGGTTGCTGCCTGTGCTCTGCTCTGCCAGGCTCTGTGTCATACTTCTGATGCAGTCCTGATGTGAAGTATTTGAAGTATTTTCTGACTTCATTTATTTTTATTTCTAAAAAGAACTGTTGTTCGTCTTCAACCACTTTTACCCTGGTTACTTAGCGCTGGGCGCAGCAGTGCTCTGTGCGAGGCTGGGGAGGTGGTAGACCACACTGCTCAGCACACCGCTTCCCTTGTCATCGGGCTGCACAGCAGGAGAGAGCAAAGGTTTGCACTTCTTTTTTTTTTTCCTCCCTGACATTTCACATAATCAGGCTAAAAAGACTGTCTGCAGCACGTCTCATGTAGAGCAGCAGATGGCTCTCTTTCCTCTGAAGTCCAGTTGGGAAAGGAAACCTTGGATGATGCCTGGGTCTTAAGAGAAGCTCCAGCCTTGTTCCCTCCAGTGCCATAGCTCCTTAGGGCATACTCTCATACTCATTCAGCAGTGCAGACAGGATACGGCTATGATGATGTAGCAACACATTTAAAACTGTTTGGCTCTACCTATACTAAATAGCAACCTTCAACCCTAAACGTTGAGGGTTGCTTAGTGTGTGGTTTAACCTGGCAGGGAACTGAACACTACACAACTGCTCGCTCACTCCCCCCTCCCTCAGTGGGATGAGGGAGAGAATCGGGGAAAAAAAAAGGTAAAACCCATGGGTTGAGATAAAGACAGTTTAATAAAAGAAAATAATAACAATAATGATGAAAATAGTAATAGAATATACAGAATATACAAAGCAAGTGATGCATAATGCAATTGCTCACCACCTGCTGACTGATGCCCAGCCCGTCCAGAGCAGTGATCACTCTCCCCCCGGCTAATTTCCCCCAAGCATGACATCATATGGTCTGGAATATCCCTTTGGCCAGTTGGGGTCAGCTGTCCTGGCTGTGCCCCCTCCCAGCTTCTTGTGTACCTGGCAGAGCAGGGGAAGCTGAAAAGCCCTTGACTGGTGTAAGCACTGCTCAGCAACAACTTAAACATCAAAGCACTATCAATATTATTCTCATCCTAAATCCAAACCACAGCACCATACCACCTACTAGGAAGAAGATTAACTCTGTCGCAGCCAAAACCAGGACACTTAGAAGATGAAGAAGGTGACCTGGGAAAATATATCAGTGATGCTAACCTAAGTCACAGCATTTCCTCATGGAGCAGGATAATGTCTCTTCTGTCAGGTTATGAAGTTTTATAGGATATAAGTTAGTCGTCTGTTTCTGGGTTCCCACATCTTTTTTCAGTCTTTTTTTAATTAATATTACAAGGTACCCTATTTATTTATGCCCTTTTAAATAATCTGACTTTTGAAGTCTTGTTTTTCAAGATAAACAGAAGAAAGGAGCAGAGGAACATGGCTCATTCTCACAATACAAGAATCACCTGGTTATTCTTAAATAACTGAAAGTAACATAAGAAGAGTCCAATGACTGAAGATTGAAATACCTACTTTTAAATTTGTTTAAGTCTCCTTATATGCAGTACAATATACAGATTTTTATGTTGTAAATGCCTAACAAGGATATTTATCTTTTAGACCGATAATTTACAAAATGGAAGAATATAAAGTTAAGGTACCAGATCGTTTGGACAAGAAAAGATAGGCACATGCATCCCAGCAAAAAATTCCTCAGGTTTCCCACAACAGAGCAAGTTACAGTCAATCAAAAAGGAAAAGAATTAGGATGCCTTGAGCTGCGCAATCCTTCTGCTGTAAAGCCTGAATACAAAATCATTACTAAATCATGCATAAGATGATGCTGACCAAATCAGAAATGGTTTATGTGACTCTGGCAGTACAATGTGTTTTCATCTGTCTGGAAATATTGTGTCTGCTGCAGATGCCTCAGGGCTCCCTGTCGCTGCAGATATTCTTTCCTGGGGGTTTATGTTGGGAGGGGAGATATTCATCATGCCTGCTTGTCTTATCATTTGGTAGCAGAGACACTCCATGCAGTTCCATTTTTGGCATTGGCCATGATAGCAGAAAGCTTGGGACTTCACTCAGTTAGCAGCATTGCTTTCATATGGAAGACAGTAGTGTGTTCAGCTCTGGGGCCCCCAACATAAGAAGGACATGGACCTACTGGAGTGGGTCCAGAGGAGGGCCACGAAGATGATCAAAGGGCTGGAGCACCTCTCCTATGAAGACAGGCTGAGACAGTTGGGCTTGTTCAGCCTGGAGAAGAGAAGGCTCTGGGGTGGCCTTATAGCAACCCTCCAGTACCTGAATGAAGCTTACACAAAAGCTGGAGAGGGACTTTTACGAGGGCATGTAGTGATAGGACAAAGGCTAATGGCTTTAAATGGAAAGAGGGTAGATTTTGATTAGATATAAGGAAGAAGTTCTTCACTCTGAGGGTGGGAACAGGCTGCCCAGAGAAGTTGTGGATGCCCCACAGAAGTGTTCAATGCTCCCCCTGGAAGTGTTCAAGGCCAGG